CGGCAAGGGGGCGCGGATGCCAGCCCTGGACTGGCTGGACGCCCCCCACACACACACACTGTTCTGCAGCAGGCAATGTGCCTGGATGTTGCTGAGGGAGGCATCGGGGGTGAAGCTGGCTGGGCCACACAGGGGGCATGACCGTGGCCGGGCAGCGCCACACCCTGGCTGACTTCCCAGCACCGCGGGGTCCCGGGAATCCCCGGGCGCACAGCCCCATGCAAGGCTGTGAGCGGTGCAGGGCAGGGTCCGCTCCCGGTTCCTGTCGGCAGAGGAGCGTGGGCACCCGCAAGCCAGGGCAGCGCGGACCCTGCGTGGCAGGCTCTCTGCTGGCAGCACGTGTGAGGGGAGCCGCCGCTGCCCAGCCGGGGGATGGCCCTAGCATGGCCTAGTTGCGCAGTGGAGACCAGGCCGAGGCACAGCTCATCACACGCCACAAGCCAGTGACTCCCGGACAAGGGGCGTGGCGCACACGTGGCCTAGGCCTGACCATGTGGCAACACAAAGCTTGCGGGGAGGGGGGGCAGGCGGCTGGGTCCCCCAGCCTGCAGTGAATGACCCCGAGTCCCAGCCGCAGGGGAGCGGAGAGAACGGCTTTGTAGCTCTTGACGTGCGCAGCGATGGGAGGGTCTGGGCCCGGGCCTGCTGCCCCCCGTGCGGGGCGGAGTGACGGGCGGGGGTGCAGAGGCAGGAGAGCAGTGGCCCAGCGGGGGAGGACGGGAGGGCTCTTACCGGTAATGGTGTACGGGTAATAGTTCCAGGCCTTCTCGGTGATGTAGAATATCCGGGGGGTCACCGCCCGGGCCCAGCTGGGCAGCTTGCTGCAGGGAAGAGCAGCGGCTCCCGTCAGTCCTCGCTCTCAGGGGGGTGTCACACCCCTGCGCCTGAACCCCGCTCCCCCCCACAGCGGGTTCAGCCCTATCCCGGCCAGTGCCCCGCAGTGCTGGCCTGAGAGGAGCTGTACTCACGCTGCAGAACCAGCTACCCCCACCACCCTGGGCCCTGGGGTGAGCTCTTCACACCTTTCCAGCCCTCCAGCTCCCTACCCAGCCAGCTAGAAAACACTGTGCTTCCCCGCTGTCCTCTACCCTCCCAGACTGATACTCAATGGGGCCAGCCTGTACCCCTCGAGCCCCATCCCCACAACCTGTCACCCCTCCCCAGCCCCACACCCGCCCGGCTCACCCGCCTGGGCCCAGCCTTTTGTGCTCTCCTCCCCCTCCTGCAAACAGGGTTGGCTCCTGCTCCCAGCTGGGCCCTCCATCTCAAAGGAAGCCAGCTCAGGTCCCCGGCTCATGACCGCTTTTGTCTGGCCCCTAGCGCAGGGTCGGATGTGCTGTGCACGGGCACGACTGTCACTGGGCTGGGCAAGCAGCCTCCTCTCACAGGCAGACTGCAGCAGCCAGGGCTGGAAATGAACAGTCAGCTCACGCCCGCTCTCCCTGTGCCGTGACAGCTGCTCCTCGCCCATTGGAGGGGAGCTGGGGGCAGGGGGGATGAGGTGTGGTTTGATTTTTTTTCGCAGGGTCGGATGTGCTGTGCACGGGCACGACTGTCACTGGGCTGGGCAAGCAGCCTCCTCTCACAGGCAGACTGCAGCAGCCAGGGCTGGAAATGAACAGTCAGCTCACGCCCGCTCTCCCTGTGCCGTGACAGCTGCTCCTCGCCCATTGGAGGGGAGCTGGGGGCAGGGGGGATGAGGTGTGGTTTGATTTTTTTT